CCCTAAACCCTAAACCCCTTTTTGTTGGGTTGCCGGAGGGTTTCAGGGCCTCTTTGGCCTCCCCGGGTGGACAGGGGTGCTTATAGGGTCGCTACTGTTGATGATAGAAATCCTGCATTACCTTAAGGACCTTAAAGGGTTCCGTTAAAGGGATCTATAGGGTTTAGGGATTAGCATTCCCTTAAGGAGCCTATGGGAATTATGGCACATTCCTTATTATGGGTCATGCAGGATTTGCCTCGTTTACCGTATCAAGGAGCGGGGTTCTTGTTGTAAGGAGCTTGACTGAAGTTACTACAGTCCGGCGCGACTTCTCCGGTCTATTCTGCTAGCTTAAGAAGCTACTTTTTCAATCGGAGTCCGAAAGGTCTTGGTGTTCAAGGGTCATGGTTCAGGATGCAGCGGGCTTGAGAGTGATCATGAAGCCCCCCTACTGTTGATGATATAGATGCTGCATTTCCCCTAATAAGGAATATACCACATATCCCATAGTTTAAAAGGGTCCTCAAGGTAATGCTAAACCCTAAACCCTATAGATCCCCTTAAAGGAACCCTTTAAGGTCCTGAAGGTAATGCGGGATTTATATCATCAACCGTATTGACCCGAAACGCTGCACCTGAAGCCCTGGCTGGGTGGTTGGTCCATTCTTTAGTGAGGGCCTCGTTCAGGGTTCTGCAGTACTATAAAGGCACCTCGGCCTTAGGGTTTAAGGTTTAGGGTTTTAGGGTTTAGGCTTTAGGGTTTAGGGCAGCTCTGGGGTAACATAGAGGCCGGAATAGTTACCTAAACTATTTTGGGGGGTTCCTTATTACACTTACAGTATCATAGACCCCAAAACCCTATTCTAATTATGAAGGCCCCTATATTGCTGCCCTGCACGTCTGAAGGACTGATACACGTATCCCTCCCGAAGCGCAGCGGCACAAAACTCCGACGACTCCTTGGAGTTCCTTATTAAAAGGTTTAGGGTTTAGGGTTTACCTAAAGTCTCCATTGTAGTTCTTTTTGTTGGTTGCTAGTTTCAAGGTTTGGATCCTAGAATATGAAATATGGTCGACCAAAAAAGGAACTACCATGGAGGCTATAGGTAGGGTGTAGTACAGCGAAGGCATCAAGCGCAAGGCATGAAGAGCTGAACCTTGCCGGAGGTCTCGCCACGCTTACGGCGTGCCCTGGCACCAGGCATTGCCTCTGCAGGAGTTTGGGTTTTCCCCCTGCAATCCCTGATCATCCTAGTCCCTACATACCACTACATGTAGCAGGGTTGCTTCCTAAGTAAGCTGTACTGGTTTCAGATCGCAGATTTCAAGGGCTTCGTAAACCCTGCGCAACTGTAGTACAGAATGTCCGCAAGGCCGAACCCAAGCCCGGAAGCCAAAACCCCGAATATACAATTGTCGTGTACGCGATCGTTTAGGGGTTGGGGTTTAGGGGTTCCTCTCCTGTTATTTGCACGGTTTCAGGGTTATGGTTTATGACACAGCTTCAGGGTCACGGGCTTCAGGTTTGGAATTGTATCGGGGCCTGGATAACTAGTAGCACTATGCCTTACCGTGCACTCCGAAACCACTTCACTAGATGTTATGAATATACCCCCACAGTCCCAACGCAATGATACGGTATTCTACACCCCAGACCCCTACATGACACCCATCGAAACCCCATAAACCTACGCGAGTTCAAAACTTTACAACAGCTTTAGTCGAATTATTATAAGCCACCTATATCAGACCAAAAATGCAGCCGCTTTCTGCTGGAGGGACCCGGCTTGCCGACAACCCACGGCAACTCCGCTGGTGAGGCATGATCCACCTCCTTCTGATGATTATTACTATGACTATTGAGTTTCATTGTTTTCCATTTTTTGTCTATCCATGTAGTGGTTTTTACGATTACTCCGTGTGAAAGGATGAACGGATTCTGGGGTTTACGGTCATGCATGAGGCTTAGTGTGTACTGAAGCATGAATAGTTGTCTGCACCCTTGCATAAAGCAGTACAGTTGCACTGGTATGTGTCGTCTTCTTCGACATCTTTTTCGTTTGTCGTGTAGAGGAGTCGCAGCGCAGTAGCATGCATGGTCTCAGGCTTGATGCGCCTTGACCCGCTAAGAGAACACAGCCGCAGGAGTTGAATCCTACTTGAAGACTCCCTGTGACCCGAACCCGAGCACCCCAAATCCCCAACAAACTCAAAAGCCTGACACCCCTAAACCCTAAACCCCTAAACCCCTAAATCCTAAACCCCAACCCCGAAACCCCTAAGCCTTAAAGCCCTACGTAAACGATATGCCGCCGAACCCGAAAGCCACCTTCGACCCGACAGTCGCAGGCCTACCCGAAGAAAGTCCCGTCTTATGGATGCTTCAATGGCGTCCCAGGCCGCCTGCGATGACAGGAACAGACGCTGTTTACATTGCTGCGACAAGGTTGAGAGTGTCAGGCTCAAGGTGGTACCGATTCGAGAGACTTTTTCATTTCTCTGAAATGTTGAATCTGGGGCTTGAACTATAATTCATGTTGGGAGTCTTGAAATCGACACCTACTGTTGATGATATAAATCCTGCACTACCTTAAGAATCATAAACTATGGAGATCATTGTATATTCCTTATTATGGGTAATGCAGGATTTATATCATCTACCCGAAACCTTAAACCCTACCGCTAAACCCTACACCCTACACCCTAAACCCTACCCCTAAACCCTATAAGCCCTAAACCGGGGGGGCTATGTTGTCCAAACCTGACAGGTTACGCTCTTCGTACTTCGTGGGGGTGATAGGGTACCCATAGGCCCCTTAGTAGTTTCTTTTTTGTGGCTTCTATAGGATCCTATTAGGTAATCCCCAAAAGGAACTACTATGGGGCCTATGGGTATTCCTCTTCCATGAGAAAACGTGATATCAAGTCTCGTAGAATGTATTCCAATACCTATTGCAAGGATTGAGTATGTAAGCCCGAATAATTGCAAATTGCCGAGATCATTCCGTAAGCTTCGAATATTATGACGATACGACAGCAGACCTCCCACACCCTAAACCCTAAACCTAAACCGGCGATTGAGGCCCCCTATACTGCGCACCTTCCTTTTGACTAGGCCTGAATCGAGCCTTGCACGGCGAGGTGACGTGCCGCCCGAGAAGCGGCTCTGGTACATCAAAGGGGCCGTGGTCGGCTCAGACGCACTTCTTTACTTTAGGGTTGGGCCCCTCAGCAGTCGCCCGTCAAGGCTAACCTGCTCCTTTTCTGAGTGTTCCCTTATCAAAACCCTAGGGGTCCAAGTTCCCATTAGTTAAGGACTTTGAGGCCTTTCCGGGTACTTAAAGCCATAAATAAGGACTACTTGGGCCCTTAGGGAAACTGTATAACAGGGGGAAGCAATACCCTTAGTCCTTGGGGGGACACTGGTTTTCCTTGCCTGTGCAGGCCCTACGCCGTGACCATCGAACTGAAGACTGAACCCTAAACCCTAAGCCCTACTCCGGCTGCGAATATCATTCGACTAGGGTTTCGGTGTGTCTCATAATATCAATAATCAGAGACTCGAGTTATAGTATACTAGCTCTACTTATATCGGCGTAGAGTTGATGACGAATCAGCTAATCTTTCAGACCACGATGTTGGGGTTAAGGGCCAGGTTCTTGGCAACGGCGCACCGTAAGTATCTTAAATTCCGAACTCAGTATGCGGAGCGTTCCTAGGGAGCCCCATGCCCCCTAATATGAAAGGAATATAAGTGTGGAAACCGTCTGACATATTTTGGCATGAATCTGATTTGTTATGCTATGTCTACCTCTACCCATAGTCCCCATAGTAGTTCCTTTTTGGGAATACGTGATAGGATCCCCAACATAAGCCACAAAAAGGAACTACTATGGGGCCTATTCCTTGCTGTGGTTCTCTCTGGGTTCTTCAGCTCTCGGCCCCCTGCTCTGCAACTCCAAAGCCGCTTCATGCGGGTTGGCGGTCAGGGTTCAGGGTGTCCGGTTTAGGGTTTTGGCGGGTTTAAGGTTTAGGGTTTAAGGATTTCAGGGTTTTGGGTTCAGGGTGCCGAATGGGAGCCAAAACACATTGCCTCAACCACGGCAACGTGTTGCGCAAAGTTGGACTGCAGAGCTGGCATCTTTGATTGGATGATATCAGTTTTCATGGAACCATTTTTATACAGGTACGGGATGACTAAAAATGTATCTGTAAGCGAGATACGATACAACTTTGGCAGAAGTATAATACAACTATAACACCAGCACAATACAACTATAATACGACTACGGCATAGGTATATACAAGTTGACGATGATGCAACCATACCGAAGGTTGTAATGCAACTATCGTAGAACTATAGCAACAGATGTAGCATGTAAGTGTAACTCTGATCATTGAAGCCATGTAGGGGTTATGACCGGTGTAGGGTTTAGCGTTTAGGGGTTTGGATGTGATTTCCACCCTAGAAGCAGAGCCCTAAGAGTTTAGGGTTTGGGGTCTGGGGGGGTTCGGGTTTGGGGTTCCGGGTCGAGGGTTTAAGGCAACCCCGGAACTATGTCAACAGCCCTCAAGCTCGCCACTACCCAGGGTGCGGGGTGTAGGGCTTTGTTTCGGACATTTTTTTCACCTCGCAGTTGAGTGTTTAGGTTCAGGGTTGTTACACCAAAAGCTGGAAGCCTGACACCAGAAATTCCGGATGAGGGTGGGGAGTGAGTATGTAATTGTCGAGAAGCGAAGTACTGAGCAAGTCGGCCTTCACAGTGCAAGCACAAAGCCCGAAACAGGTGTACATGTGGGTCTCCGAAAATAGGGGACCCTAATATAATACCCTAAATAGTAGCATCCTTATTATAAGGACCCCAAAACAAGGTACCCTAATTTTCGGAAACTCCCAAATGAGCAGTGACGGAGACCTGCCTGCACCATATTGCCCAAGTTCTTAAAGCCTAGCATAACTCGGTTTAGGGTTTTAGGGTTTAGGGTTTAGGGCCACGAAAGCAGGCAAACTTCCTGTTGCGAAACAGTGCAACCTCTCAGCACAAACCCTGAACCACTAAACCTCAAAACAGAAGCCACAAAGTCAAATTGATCCCCTATACTTCCCAGCCCTTAAACCCTTACACACTTAAACCCTAAATTCAATAAACCATAGGAGAACAAGTCTCTCTAAGGGCATGGAGTTCGCGGGCACTAGCAGCCTCTATGGGCGGGGTCGCGACAGCGGCAACATGAACTTCAAGGCCCATCGGGCACAGGATTTTAGAGTGTTTGGGGGATAGGGGTTTAGGGTCTTGGGTTTAGGGCTTTTTGGGGTTAGGGGTTTTGGGTTTTGGGCTCATTGAAGGTTTGGGGTTCAGGGTGTACAGCCCCAGGTTTACAGTTTTGGATTTTGGGTTTTGGGCTTATGGCATGCAGTTCCGGATGTTTGCTGACATGAGGGCGTACTTCAAGGATTCAGGCTGTCAGCATAGCCTCATTACTTCTGCTGAAGACCGCTAGTGTTCATAGACGATTGCGCTGTCTCCTCACCCAGGTCGCAGAGCATCTTGAGGAGACGAAATGCATCGACCAGTGTTGCTTGTGGATTACATAGGGTTTAGGGGTCTCGGTCTACTAAACTAAACGATTCCTTGGCAAAAGTTACCCGTTGGAGATACTGAGGTCATCTTTGGTTCGTTGGTTTCCTCTTGGTTGGGTTCTCCAAAGCAGGAAGAACAGGGAGCCGCAGCCATGCGCGCAACGCCCGAAAGACATGGACCCCATGGATCCAACCTAGGTTTTCATAACCCGTCTTCAGTGCTATACTCAATCACTCCATAGATGCCTTTACGGTTCACAGTAGGGAATTCAAGAAGTTATATAGGGCTGGCCAAACGCTTGTTCTGATTTTTCATAGTCCCATACCCCAGAGCCTCGAGCTTAAACCCTAAACCCCAAACCCTGAATCCTAAACCCTAAACCCTAAATCCCAGACCCAAAGCCCTAAGCCCTAAACCCTAAGCTCTAAACCCTCAACTCTAAATCCTAAACCTACCCCTAATACCAATCAACAACTCCCCAATCCGAAATCCGAAGCACGCCTAAATCTTTAGCTGCTGTATAAAGCCCCTAGACATGTCCTTTCAGCCGTAGAGGCACCCGAAAAACAGTGTTTCACTAGAAAAGTGTAGCTAGGGCCCAATAAAACAGGCCACGGCTAGACTCGGTTCAACCCTCGAGCTCTATATCCTAAACCCCCAAAACCGAAAGCACCCATAAAACCTTGTTTGCTCTAAACCCCAAACCAGATAAAACTCCATAAACCCTCAACCCCCCAAAACCCGAAAGCAAAATGCCAGGCCACTAACGCACTGAGCCTTAGTCAGCAGTCTGCCTCGAGCTCGGATTGGGCTACAGGACTTTGAGGGTTTGGTTTAAGGGTCTTACTTTCAGGGCCCTGGATATTATATATATATATATA